AAAAACTAAAAAATTTCCTAATAATGCATATAAAACCTTATATTCCTTCTTATATAGGACCAACTTTTTATTTATATAATTATAACTGTTATTATTAGATTATCTATGGATTAGAATTGTTTTATACTTCAATTCATTTGTTAGAGATGCTTTATGTCTCATCTTGAGAAGCTAGAATTTTGAGCATTTTATATTAAATTTCCTAACTGTTATTATTAAATTATCTTGTGTTTGCGTTGATGTTTTACTTGGTTTTCTTTTCTATGGTAAAAAGACATTTCTTTATTTCCATTGTGTTGGTCATATAATATTGACTGATTTTTTCTATTTATCACTTTTTTTTTATAATCAGAATGCTTTAACGGATCCTCAACGAGTTCAAACACCTTCAATTATGGAGTACTGGAAACCCTTGGCTGAAGATGTAAGCTTGCATATTCTTCTGCAGTGAGAATCTTGATTTTCCCTTCCTGTCTTCAATAATATTTCCAGACCGGTTGTTATGAATTTTCCTCATAATTTGATGTTCAGTTCCTATCCTTCTCCCCTTTCCCATTTTACTGAATATCAAAATTGTTTTGCATTTTTGAAATTACAGATGGATCCCTCCGCTGGAATAGAAGCTGAATATCATCACAAGAATAACAGGGTAAATCCTCTAATTAAAATTTTATTTTGGATGAAAAAGAAGTTTTATTTAAGAAAAACAAGGAAAGTAAAAATTTGAGAATTTAGTATCCTCAAAAACTTCAACAATAAAATGTGATAAAGAACAAGCAGATTAATAATGCTGCTAGACTGCCTATTCTCTCTTCATTTTAGAAATGAAAACTCCCTTGACAATTGAAACAGCACTGGGCAGAATAGTGAGACAGCAGAATATATAAGCCTGTCCAAAACTACTTAATACTTATTTTACGTAAAGACACGTATGGCTGCTATCTATTGCTCCAGGGTCTCTGTTGTCTATAGTACCCATGGCTTAATGGTATGGAAAGTGGAGATATAATCGCCGCAAGGATGAAATGAAAAGGCAGAGAAGGAACTCATCATCCACTTATCTAACTAGATTTTCTAGAGCACTTAGCCATTTGAGAACTTATTAATTTGACCAGAGCATAAACTATGTAAAAACATCTTCCATAAATTACGGTGTGAGATGACTATTATCAGCTCTACCAAGCTTCGACTTCAGTAGTAGAAATAACCAGACGTGGGCGAAATCACCTTTCATCCTTGACCTTTTTTTCCTTTCATGCATTCTCTCCGGGGTTGTGATTTTTTGGACGAGACCAAACAAATGAGTTTGAGTGGGGCATTTTTCCGCCAATTATTTGGTCAAGCACTTAAATGCTGGCTTGCCAGCTCATGCATAATCATCTTTTTCAAGCACTTCTATGCCCTTGCTCTATGATACGACCCTGATCTCACTAACACTAGTGGCTGTAATGAGAGTTGCTTGTTGTGTTAAAAAATCATAAAATCCAAACCAAGATGTTGACAACCTTGGTCACCATGAATGTGATATTAAGAGTGGAACTTAAGGTTATTAGATATCTTCAAATTTTTATCTGTAAAGTAACTTGGACCCAGTAGCAAATCGTTTAGACTAGTCATATTCGTTATGCTGTTAAGTTGTATAGCTTGAAAAGCATTAAAAAGTATCTTCTAATAAATTTTATCTGAAAAATAAATGTAAATAAACAAAGTAAGGAATACTCTCTGTTGCAGGAATATAAAAGAAAAAGAAAGAATAAAGCAAAGCCAGTGGAAAAACAAAAAATGAAAACGAAAGAGCTCTTCAATTATCCTTCAGAGAGTAAAGACATCCTTGTGAAACTCCCTTTGATCATAAAGGGGGCATCACAGCTTCATCCTTATAGTGAGTCTGAAAAGACACAATTTTCATTAAAAATATGGGCATTTTATTGCAACGAAAGTCTCAAAACAGCTGCATACATAGCAACATGTAATAGAGTAGAATTTAAACAGAAAAATTCTTCCCAATTTTGTAGTTGCACATTTATTGTCTGATGGTTTTAGCCTTTAACTTGAAAATATACATCTTAAAAATTCTATTTTTCTTTTCAATTCAGGTTTATTGTTGGAAAGGTCTCCGTCTTGCTGCTCGACAAGACTTGGAGGGGTTTTCTAAGGTAACAGTGATTTTTTTTTATCTGCAATTTAGTATGTTTATTATTTTAGGTTGTGTGAAAGTCATAGATTTTGGTTGCAGTTTACTGATCATGGCATTGAAGGGGTTGTCCCACTAGAGCTTTTGCCACCAGATGTCCGATCTAAATACCAAGCTAAGCCAAACGACAGAAGTAAGCGTAGCAAAAAGGAAGAAACAAAAGGCTCTGCACATCAAGTTGAGGAAAATCAGGTTTCTTGATTCAGATCCACCTTTTCATTTTTCTTTTTTAATTACATCAGCTCAAGAGAAATACCATATTATACAGTACTGTAGAATTGGGTGGTTCAAATTGTTGCTAGTTGGTTGTGTGGTAATTGAATAATTTCTGTTTTGCTGTATTTCTTTATAGTTCAACTAACATATTTAAGGTTGGTGGCAATTCACTTTTAACGTCAGAGATTAATGTATTAGGAATTAAGAATTTTCTAATTTGTTGGTTTTCTTGTGTCACACAAAAACCTTTTTGAAAGGATTAGTGACAAAACATGTCACGGAGGATGGTACCGCTCTAGTTCATGTATCATGTTGAAAAGAGAGAAACTAAGAACGAATATGATGAATATAACATATATACTGTTTGATTGCTTTTATTTAAAAGGTTTTATTTGTAACAAGCTTTAAGTTTGGGAGGAGTGTTAGAATATATGAAAATATCAAAAAATATATTATTGTATCTTACAATATTCTTTAGGATTTGTTTGCTTAATTTGTTAGGATCATAATTAGTATAATTAGTGCGGTGTTTTATGAGACATCAAATACACCAAAACATTTTAACACATCATTTTTTAGTCTCAACTCTTCTCTTTTTTTCTTTATTTTGCATCTATAGTAACAAATCCAATGCTTAAAAGGAGTTTCTGAAATCACTTTTGGTCATGCCTTTTTTTCTTCTCTTAAAATAATAGATTGCCACAACTGCAACTGAGATGGATGGGGATGGCATTCGAACAGATAACACAGCAACACCTATGGAATTTGATGGTGCCAATGTCCCTGGTACTCAAGGTGGAACCCCAACACCTGAAGAACTTCAGAAGCATAGCTCAGACACTGATGTAGGACAGGAAGCCGGCCAATTAGAAGCAGATGGCGAAGTTGAGGCCGGAATCATAGATGGTGAGACAGATGCAGATGTTGATTTAGATACTGTTGGCTGAGGCCAGGCAAGTTTGCAGGTCGACATGTTAAGGATGATGAACATTGCGAGACATGTTGGCATCGTGTTTTTTGGACAAAGATAGCTACAATATTAACCACCTGGCCAAGTTAAATACACTTGCCGTTTTAATTATATTTATGTAGACTTTTGGTTTGAATGTCATTGGAAAATGGTTCTCTTAATGAATATGGCTCAAAAGAGGAATGAAATATTGTAAATCTGAGTTTTTCCTTAGTATTCTCTGTGCAATCAACACTTGAAATTTGTTTTATATGTCAAACATCAAATTGTGAGATTTGAGTTCCTGAGGTGAGGTGTGAAATGTGAGACAATAAAATATATCTATCTATTATTGTTAGGGATTAAATTATTTTTGTTAGGATATTTATCCTATTTTATTATCATTATAGTGTGTCAAGGGTTACCTTATTTATCATGATTATATTGTGTCTAGGATTATTCTATTTATCATGATTATATTGTGTCTAGGGTTACTCTATTTATAATGTACTTATGTATCAATTTATTTTTATAAATAGAAGATTGTGAGAGGGATCAATTAAGCCTTCTAGAATTTTACAGTTTCAATCTTAAGTTGGTATCAGAGCGGGTCGATCCTGCTCTGGTTTTTGTCTCATGTAATATATATTTGTCTGGTGCCACAGTTCTTCGTCGCCCGCCACCGTTCGTTGCTGCCCGCCATCGGCCATCGTCCACTGTCGGCCACCGTCGTTAGTCGCCGACCACCGTCACTGTCGGCCACCGCCCGTCGTTGTTGGCCACCGTCGTCCATCACTGTCACAGTTTCCTTCGTCTAAACCCTTAGGGTTTTTTTGTTCCTCGCTAGTACTATTCGTCTTCTTCAGAAATGGCGTCTGGTAGTACTCTTTCCTTCTCTGGAAGTCCATCAATTACCTCTGAGAAGCTAAATTGAAAAAATTATCTATCATGGTCTGCTGCCGTTGAAATGTGGTTCCTTGGCCAAGGGCATTATGACCACCTTGAGCGAGATGGAAGCCATGTGCCTACTGAAAAAGCTGATAAGTGGAAACAAGCAGATCTCTAGTTGTGTGCCCTGTTATGGTAATCAGTGGAACTCAAACTTCTTGTATCTTTGAGGGCTTTCAAAACTTGTCACTCCTTTTGGAAGAAAGCCCAAAGCATTTATGCCAGCGATATTCAACGTCTCTATGACACTACTAACAAGCTTGCATCTCTTAAAATGGCAGACCATGATATGGTGTCCTTCATGGTTGAAGCCCAATCTGCTGTCGAAGAACTTAGGATGTTTGTGGAGGTAGATCCATTAGAGGATATAAAAAAGAAACTAGACAAATTTTACATGGTGTTGTTCCTTCGTGCCCTACATCCCAATTTTGATCATCTCAGAGATCAACTTCTAACTAGTCATGAGGTCCCCTCTATGGAAACATTGACCA